CAATTTGCCAATTTATTTTTGGGGAGAATGTGTTCTTGCGGCCACACATCTTATAAATTGGACACCAACACCGTTGCTTGGTAACAAAACTCCTTATGAAATTCTTTTTGGTAGTCCTCCATCTTACAACACAATTCGTGTTTTTGGGTGTCTTTGCTTTGCCCACAATCAAAAAGCAAAAGGAGATAAATTTGCTAGCAAGAGTCGAAAGTGCATCTTTGTGGGATATCCATTTGGGAAAAAGGGTTGGAAGCTGTTTGATCTTGACACCAAAGAATTTTTTGTTTCCCGCGATGTGAAATTTTTTGAGGATGTTTTTCCATTTCCCCTCACAGATACGACTACCAATCCTCATGAAGAATTTGTTCACGAAGATTTTTCTGTAATTGTTGAAGAAGCCGAGCCCAGCTCCACAAACGAGCCAAACCCTCAACTTGAGCCAAGCTCCACACCCGAGCCAACCTCTCAACCGGAGTCAAACTCCATACCCGAATTCAACTCACAACCTGAACAACACACTAGTACTCTTGCTCCAAATAACCAGGATCCGAATGTTGAGATGGGTCGGGGTATGAGAAATAAAGTTCCTCCAGTGTGGTTGCGCGACTATGTTATTAATTTTACTGTTGCTAAAAGTCCATCCTCCGTCACACCGTCTCCACAGTCACCCTCAGGTACTCCCTATCCTTTAGCACATTATATAAATTGTGACAATTTTTCTCTACCATACAGAACTTTTCTCGCATCAATTCTTTCTGAAAAAGAACCAAAATCTTTTAAGGAGGCAATGACACATACCGGTTGGAAAGAATCTATGACAAATGAAATCCGGGCCCTCGAAGACAATCAAACTTGGACTCTTGAAAATCTCCCGCCTGGGAAAAAGGCTCTTGGGAGTCATTGGGTGTATCGAATCAAATATAACTCAAATGGGTCGATTGAAAGACTCAAATCAAGATTAGTGGCTCTTGGTAATCATCAGGAAGAAGGCATCGATTACACAGAAACTTTTGCTCCTGTTGCCAAAATGACAACTGTTCGTGCACTTCTTGCCATTGCAGCATCTAAAAATTGGGAACTACATCAGATGGATGTGCACAATGCTTTTCTGCACGGTAATCTCGATGAAGAGGTGTATATGAAGCTTCCCCCGGGCTTTGAGGCATCCGATCCTAAATTAGTGTGTCGATTGCGCAAGTCCTTGTATGGATTAAAGCAGGCACCGAGGTGCTGGTTTGCAAAACTTGTTACGGCCTTGAAAGGGTATGGTTTCTTACAATCCTATTCCGACTACTCCTTATTCACCTTTACTCGGGGTGGAATTCAGATAAATGTACTTGTTTATGTCGATGATCTCATCATTTCTGGGAATGATTCTGCTGCTCTTAAGACATTTAAGGCTTATCTCAGCGATTGTTTTCATATGAAAGATCTCGGCACTCTAAAGTACTTTCTGGGTATTGAGGTTGCTCGTAGCGCTTCTGGACTATTTTTGTGTCAAAGAAAATATACTCTTGATATTATTTCTGAAGCAGGATTGTTGGGGGCTAAACCGGTTAGTGTTCCTATTGAGCAAAACCACAAACTCGTCCTAGCTAGTGGCCCAATTTTCTCTAATCCTACAGCTTATCGGCGTCTAGTTGGAAGACTTATCTACTTAGCCGTAACTCGACCGGATCTCGCATACTCTGTTCATGTGTTGTCTCAATTCATGCAAGAACCACATGATGAGCACTAGGAGGCAGCTTTGAGAGTTGTCCGTTATTTGAAAGGTACACCAGGTCAAGGGATTCTCCTACGAGCAGACACTGATCTAACGCTACAGGGATGGTGTGATTCGGATTGGGCCGCATGTCCTATTACTCGGCGATCGCTTACGGGTTGGTTGGTTTTTCTCGGCCATTCTCCAATCTCGTGGAAAACAAAGAAACAAACTACTGTTTCTCGTTCTTCTGCAGAAGCAGAATACAGATCCATGGTAGCCGTTACTTGTGAACTCAAATGGTTAAAGGGCTTGTTGTTAAGTCTGGGGGTTCATCATCCCAAAATCATAAAGTTATTTTGTGACAGTCAGTCAGCCCTTCATATTGCAAAGAATCCAGTGTTTCATGAACGCACAAAACACATTGAAGTGGATTGTCATTTTGTTCGCGATGCAATTAAAGATGGTTTGATCTTCCCTTCCTACATTCCTACCAATTCGCAATTAGCTGACATCTTCACAAAGGCTCTTGGGCAAAGGCAATTTGAATTTCTTCTTCGCAAGTTGGGCATTTCAGATCCGCATGCTCCAACTTGAGGGGGGGTGTTGAGATATTTGTGTTGAGATATTTGATGATATTAATCATCTATATTAATAGTCATGTGTCTCTTGGATTTTCCATATGTCTCTTGGGTTTCCCATGTGTCTCTTGGTTTTCCATGTGTCTCTTTGTTTTCTCATTTGTATTTATTTTTCATCATCTTGTTAGCACTATATATACAAGTGCTTGTATTGAAGTTGACACAAGACACAATATATTAGTTTTTCCTCTTCTTCTTGTTTATTTGTATTCTACACTGCAGTATCCAAAATATTGTTGATCTGATGCTGAGTGGTCACTATATTATCTCTTACCACCAGATGGTCATATAGGTTGGAAATCCTGAAGCTATGATAATTATTGAAGGCTTCAAGGATATCCTCTCCTTAGATTACTCCACAACGCCACCATTTGATTAACTTAATAGTATTCATCCCATCAGCAAATGATATAGAATTGTTCCTTAGGATTTCAAACAGTGTTCTAGTAAGAACCGCATCAGTTTCATTCCAGGTGACCCTTCGGAACGATCAAGGCATTCCTTCATCCTCTTCTCGTCTTCATCAACATCGATCTTTCTTCTCTTCTTCTCACGCTCATTTTCGTCATCTCATCCAAATAAAAAAAATAAACGCACAAAATTAGTCATCACGTTCTCACCTGGAGAGTGGTTCTCATCATTTGAACGCAACTCTCTCTCTCTCTCTCTTTATATATATATATATATATATATATATATATATATATATATATATATATATATATATATATATATATATATATATATATATATATATATATATATATATATTTGTTTATTTATTTATATAGGATCGAGATCAGGTGCGAAGGGGAGGTCCTAGGTGCGAATATGTAGTGAAATCTGAACATTTGATCAAATCTATACTAGATCAACGGCTCAAATCAATGATTTTTTTTTTTAAAAAATGTGCCTCTGGAAGGAAGAAGCAAATGCTAAAAATTGCGCACCTTAAGTACAAAGATGCACCTTATATTAGGTGTTAGAACAACGCACCTTAAGTGTTAAAATGTCGCACATTAAGTCTTAACATCGCGCACCTTCAGTTTATAAAATGGCGCACCTTAAGTAGTAAAATCACGCACCTTAAGTATAAAAATGGCGCACCTTAAGCTTAGAACTTATGCACCTTAAGTTTATAACTGACGCACTTTAAATGTTAAAATGACACACCTTAAGTATTAAAAGGGCGCACCTTAAGCTATGAAAAGGCGCACCTAAAGGTTTACAATGACGCACCTTAAGTTTCAACAAAAAACGCACCTTAAGTTTTCAACTGAATAACTGATGCATCTTAAGCACAGAAACCACGCACTTTAAGAAGGAACACGATGCACCTTAAGTACAAAAACTACACACCTTAAGTTTGACCAATGCGGAAAATGACCAAATTGCCATCGCATTTTTTTTAAAAATCCTTGTTAATCCTGGACGTTGATTTTGACAAGATCAATGGTTTTCATCTCACCACATGTTTCACCTCGGCACAACATCCACATCTGATCTATTTTATATACATATATATGGGAGGGTTAAGATCACCTATTTAGGTGAGATTGTGAGATCAAATCATGACCATCAATCTAATAAATTTTAATGGTTATGATTATTTAAGAATCCAAGTTTTAATTGACTTAAAAAAAAGGAAAGGAGAGAAATAGTAAAATAATACTGAATCTTTAAATGAATTTATTTGATTAAATATCATGTCCTTATTTACAGGTGATTTTTTAATGGGATGAATGCAAATAATATCATCTGTAATCATAGCTAGTTAATGACCAAATGAAAGACCCTCTTCTAGTGAGAACCTGTGAACCAACAAAAATGTACACAATCATCTACATAAATATACACCAACTATTTTCAGGATAGATTGTGTGCATTGTGCAGTGGAATATGAGTTTTTGTACATTTATATAAAAGCTTGTGTGCATTTATGTACACGTTCACAAGTTTTCACGGGAGGAGGGGTTTTTATTAGAACAATATAACACAATGGTATGATGGATGTTAATGTAACGAGCTAAGGTTCCATTACATACATGCCCCAAAGGTATTGAAAAATTGCAGTAAAGTAAACAGACCCCAAGCAAGCCCAGTTGAAGCAGCAAAATCTGGAAACTATCATCTTCAGAACGTCCGTGCTGTGCCTACATTATGGAATTAATACATACAATATAACAATTAATACCAAAACTACTATATATAATATAATATAAACACACCAAATCATCTATCAGAGTCAAAGTGATAGATTAGAGATCAGATGAGTTGAACATAGCTAACTAACCTTGAACTACTTTTCAATATACACTACTGGAAATTATGGAATTTTCGATCACTTGAAAGTGATCTGATCTTAAATAAAGTCGAAAGTCTTGTTCCGACCACTTTTGGTATCCGGAAAAACCTTTGTTGCTATTTCTGACCACTTTTTACTTTCAACTTGATTTAAGATCACTTTCAGGTGGTCAGAAATTCAATAATTTCAGTAGTGATAATTGAAGCCCAGAATGGAATCCTCAAACTAGGTGTAGATCAGAGGATGGAAATCAAATCTGCATCCACTCTCCCTAATCTTCTTCTCTTCTTCTTCTTCTTCTTCTTTTCTTCTTAATTTCTATGCCTGATTTGTTGAATACTAATGTTCATCTTCATCCCAAACAAAAACACTTGAGGATAAACTCCCTAATAATACTGCAACATCTTCTTCTTCTGCTCCAACCATCATTCTGCTCTTCTAAACCTACACTACATGTTGAAGCACTTTCTTCAATCATTAATCTAATTTCACTTTGGGGACTACCCAAACATCGATCTCTTGTTCCATCAGTTTCTACGAAGCCTCTTGTGGATGGAAAGACACGCACTTCTCCATCTTCGTTTCTATGTATTTCAAATACACAAAGCATCTTCTTCTGCAGAGGATGGAAGAAATGTGCATACACCTCCATTACTTCTCCAGTCCTTGTTCCCACCTCTATTACACATTTTTCAGACAATTTAAACTTAACATATTTGGGTTCCTTTATGATCCAAGCACCAGTGGTTTTGCTTCTCACACTAACACCAACTCCATCAAACTCATTACCATCAAAACCACTGTTAATAATGGTATTAATGGGTGTATGCCTCAAAAGTCTTGGAATACTGCAATATACAGAATCTCCGATGACTCGAAGCGAAATCTGGACAGTATTACCTTCTGAATGTGCCTACATTATATTATACAATCAAATATCAAAATCTTTAATAATTTATATATATATATATATATATATATATATATATATATATATATATATATATATATATATATATATATATATATATATATATATATATATATTGTAAAATTGACTGAAATGGTAAAAAAACATGAAGAACAGACAATAATAGGCAACTTTTAAACTTGAACAAAAGAGAAGAAAAAACTTGTTTGAGACTTGAGTAACGCAAGTGAGAACCATTTTGTTTGGAGAAACGTATAATACAAGAAACGCATGTACGACTTGCGTTTCTCATTCATATTTACACAAACAAGAGACGCATGTCCCACTTGCGTTTCTTGCGTTTGTCGTATTTAAGCGAAAAACAAGAATTTCGAAAATTTGAGAAACTCAAATGCGACTGTCAAATGGGACTTGCGTTTTTTACTAGATACTCAAGTTCCAAACGGGGTTTTCATTCTTTTGTCCAAGTTTTAAAAATTGCCCATTGTTGTATATTCATGCTTTTTGACCATTTCAATCCATTTCCCATATATATATACCCCTCACCTATAAGTCAATTATTAATATGACCCCTTAATTTTTAGTGCTGTAAATGGTTCCTCTGAATTTTTAAAACGTTGCCATATATGTTCCTCCAATCCCCTAATGGAGATGTGGTTACATGATATATGACATCATTCATAAACTCTAAAATTCAAACCGTGAGTGCATCTAAAGCACGCACATTAAATTTGATCTCGATACAAAAAGACCAAATTGTCACCGTGCGTTTTCTTAATCATTATTAATTGTGACCGTGCGTTGATACAAAAAGACCAAATTGTATGTATGTATGTATGTATATTGGCAGATCAAATGAGAACAAGATCCTCTTCTAAAAAGGGAGGACTGATCTAAGCTGTCTATCAGGGTTCATGAATGTTTTAGATTAAAATTTAGCTTTTTCGTTGACTTTATAAAATTTACCAGGTTTGCATATTTAATTGTTAAAGCTAAGATTACATATTTAAGTGTTCAAGTTTGGATAGTGAAGTTGATTATAATTACCAAAATACCACCGTATTTTTTAAAATCTCACAGCATTTTCATCTCACACACACACACACACACACACACACACACACACACACACACACACACACACACACACATATATATATATATATATATATATATATATATATATATATATATATAAGACAAAGATGTGGGAGGGAACATAACTTAACTAACCTGAAACCAATTTTCAATTGAAGGAATTCTCAAAGCGCTGCAATTTCTTATCTCAACATATTCTAAGCATTCAACACTCTCCAATCTTGGAAGCTCAACCAAACTTTTGCAATTGGGAATATACAACCCTTTCAGTCTTTTCAAGTTTCCTATTTTTTTCAATGACACACAGTTTTTTGCAGAGAGATGCTCCAAACTAAGAGGAAGTTGTAGTAGTGCTCTTAGATTTTGCCAATCATTCAATATGAGAAATTTCAAATTAGAAAGGTGAGAAAGGCTGAAGGGTAAGTTTTGAAGATGATACCAACAACCCGATAAATCTAAAAATCCCAATAAAGTCAAACTTCCAAGGGCAATTTGTAAGGATTCATGCAAATAGTGATAAGGGATAGTCAAAGCTTTTCGCTGTCCAATCTTAAGTGTTTGTAAGGATTCAAGACCCTGTACGCCTGAAAGCTCAACCAAACTTTTGCAATCCTTAATATCCAAACTTTCAAGTCTTTCTAAGTTGGATAGATCTGCTATTTTTTCTAATGACACACAATTATATGCATCGAGACTCTCCAAACTAGGTGGAAGTTTAAAAAGTTCTCTAAGATTTTGCAAATCCTTGAGGAAGAGGATTCTCAAATTGGAGAGATGAGAAAGGTCCAATGATACGCTTTCAAGATAGCAAATTCCGGATAACTTTAAAAATGTCAATGAGGTCAAATTCCCAATAGCAACTGAAAGATTTACTTGCTGCAATTTGTTGAAACTCACACTTAGACTTTCCAATGAGCATAAATTCACAGTTGAAGATGGGAAAAAATCAACAGCTACCGAGCCTACAGGCTCTCCCAGGTCCAGGGACTCTAGATTTCTCAAACATCCCAAAGAAAAGGGTAAATATGAGATACCAGTTTCTACAATATCTAATCTTCTTAGTTGCTCTAATTTTCCAATTTCAATTGGAAGCTCCCTCAGATTCTTGCAACCATATAATTCTAAGGACTTAAGTGATTTTAACTTGCAAATGCTACTTGGAAGCACCTTTAATTTCTTGCACTTCCAAAAATCTAACTTAACAAGCCTCTCCAAACTTCCAATCGATGGATGCACATTCGCCAAATTTGAACAAGCACTGAAGGATATTGTCTGAAGACTTTGTGCCCCATTAAAGTTTGGTGTACTCTTAAGTTGTGTACAACCATCGAACTTTAAGATCCTCAAGCATACAAAATGCTGTTAAAATAAAATAGAGAGGCTTTAATGCATTTCTATTTTTTATAGTCAAAGTTTTTAGGAAATACACAATGTTAACTAAAAGAAGCATTAGACATACTAACCTGCATGTTGGGCTGAAATCTTTCGATGTTGCTACTGCTAAAGTCTAACTCAACAAGTTTCATACAATGAAAATCCGATTGTATGTGACTCAAATGGCAATTAGTCAACTTAAGAACCCTAAGCTCATTCGACAAATATTTAAAAGATCCTCTAAGAAGCACACCATCTAATATGAGTATTCGTAAATTTACCATCCTTGTGAATACTTCCGTACTCAAAACCACATTCTTTAACAGGTTAGAATTTACAATCATCCCTTCAATTGCTTCTGTGCCCTAAACAAAAAATAATAATAAATTATATAGCAATATGTTAGATAGAGTTAATTCCAGCAATGGTCCTCTGACTATTGAGATTTTCCAAAATTGGTCCTCGTCTTTTAATTTGGACAAAATAGACCCTTGACTATAAGATTTGTTCCAGGTCCTTCCGTTAGAGATTAGTTAGTTATGCGTTAGTGTAGGGGCTAAAATTGTCTTTTCCTTAGTTATTGCTCGCTTCTTCCTCCCTTGTCCGACCAGCAGGCGTTAGTGGATGGATTAATGTTTCCTGAGGCCTTGTTGTAGTCGTCGACGGTGGCGAATGCAATACAGCAGCAGTATTATCATCAACATGAAAACTACTCCGAGCAGACTGGAATAAGCATGTCTTCATCATCGCAGTACTGCAATATCATCCCGGCGGTCAACTCGGACTATGCCGTCAAACGCGAGCAACATAACTCGTTTGACCTAAACCACAATGTTTTTCTTGGAGCATCGGGGGCAACTGGCAAATTCCTACGGCTAGGTTTGGAAGTACGAATAATTCTTCTAATAATTCTCCGCCGCGGCAATCTTCACTGGCTTCTTCAATCTCTGCCGCCTACATAGACGGTGGTGGCATCATTAGGTGTAGCCAGTTTCTCGGCAACAACCTAAGAAGACGCGAACCGGATCACAACGATCTTCATGTCCGGTGATCAAGGAAATCTTCATCATTCACATATTCCAACATTAAAGAAAACCAAACCTCCAAAATGCAACATATATTTTGCATAGAATAATATTACTCATATATGTGTGTGTGTGAGTGTGGGGGGGGGGGGGTGTAAATTAAATGATTAATAAGCAGGTGAGGAAAGAAAATTTGGAGACAAGGTAGCAGCTCTACACAGATTAGTGGCACCTTTTGGCAAGGTATAGTATTTTTTAATGCCAAAGGATGAGAGAGAGAGAGAGAGAGAAAGAGAGAGACCGCCGGAGGTGTTGCTCCTACTGCCATCGACTAATGGCCAGAGACGTTCTGGACGGAAGGCTGTTTGGTTTATGAGGGGAACAACGAAGGAGAAGAAGACGTAGGGCTGCTGTCACAACCCAAACAACTCAACAAGAACAAACAGGGAAGAGGGTAAAGAAGAAGAAGAAATTAGGGATTGAGAAAATAGAGGAATTAGGGATTTAGGAGAAGAATTCAGAATTGTCCACACATAGCATAAAAACCCTAATTCTATCCGACAACATTATATAGAAATCTAGGCTAAGAAAAAACCAAAAAGCTTCTAACAAACTCCAATCTTTTCGCTGGTTGTCCTTGCTGGCTCACACCTGTGGAACGGTGTCGTTTGACAACTCCCTCAACTGCTATCAACCGCTTTGAGAGCCAACGGCGTCGTTTCAATAACTCCTTCCAACGGCTTTAACAGCTTATAATCAAACGGCGCCGTTTTATTAAGTGGCTGAGACTTTATTCCTTTTCCTTCATACGACGTCGCTTAGGTCCCCGACTATCCATTTCATTTCCCCATCTCAGGTACTAAAGTTTTCTGCCCCTTTTTCACTCCCATCTCAACCTCAGCTTGAATTTCCCCCTTTTTTAGATTAAGGAACATGACATTGCCCTCCTCTTCACCTGATCCTTGTCCCCAAGGATCAAAACTGGGAAATTGCTTAGTGATGTGATGGTAGCTTTCCCAGGTGGCTGCTTCTTTGGGTAAGTTTGCCCATTGCACCAGAATTTCAACTTCAGCAGCATTGTTCCTTTTCACCATCCTTTTTCCCAAGGCAGTTATGGGGTGAGTCATGATCATTCCCTCAGTATCAGTAATAGGCAACTCGACACGACCCTTGATCCCACCTTTTTCTTCAATAAGGAAACATGGAATACTGGATGTATAGATGTCTCTCCTGGAAGTTTAAGCCTGTAAGCCACTGGTCCAACCCTTTCAATCACTTCATATGGGCCATAAAACCTAGCAGTTAGCTTGATATTACTTCTGACAGCAACAGAGGTCTGCTTATACGGCTGGATTTTTAAGTATGCCCAATCTCCAACCTGGAATTGTCTCTCACTTCTGTGTTTGTCAGCCTGCTCTTTCATCCTAGCTTGTGCTTTCAAGAGATTTTCCCTGAGTAATGCTATCATAGTAGCCCTTTCCTTAAACCAATCTTGGCTTTCATCACTGGTAATGACATTAAAGGTTAGAGAAGGGGGGTCATACCCATAGAGTGCCTTAAATGGGGAACACTGCAGTGAGGTACCAAAATTCTGCCAAATGCAACCACTTCATCCAAGCTTGGGGTCTGTGAAAGACCATACACCTCAGATAGGTCTCAACACACCTGTTGACTCTTTCTGTTTGCCCATCTGATTGAGGGTGATAGGATGAGGACATGCTTAGTTTAACTTGTAAGTATTTGAAGACTTCCTTCCAAAACCTGCTCACAAAAACTTTGTCCCTATCACTAACAATGTCCCTAGGGAGTCCATGTGGCTTGTATATATTCTCCATGAACAGATCAGCCACTCCTTCTGCTGTATAAGGATGGGACAGAGCCAAGAAATGGCTATACTTAGTGAACCTGTACACTATTACCATGATAACATCCTTACCTTTGGATTTGGGCAGCCCCTCAATGAAATCCATTGATATTCCTTACCATGCTTGTTCAGGAACTTGTAGAGGTTGAAGTAAACCAGGGTAAGCTACATTCTCCTCTTTACATTTCTGGCAAACTTCACAACCCTTAACCAATTGAATAACCTCCCTCTTCATTCCCTTCCAATAGAATAGTTGCTTAAGCCTATGGTATGTGACTTGCTGTCCAGAGTGTCCACCACTTGGGGAATTATGCATTTGGTCCAACAATTTCCCTCTCAATTCTCCAGTATTTCCAATGTAGATCCTCCCTTTATGCCTTATTAATCCCTCACTTACTATAAAGACTATTTGTGGATCTGGGGATATCATTTGCTCAGTTAACATGGTGGCAGCAAACTCATCTCCTTCATAGCTCTTAAGGACTTCATCAATCCACACTGGTCTGATCATGGAAATAGCTTTCAATTCAGCCTGTCCATCCCCTTCTTTCCTTGATAGAGCATCTGCCACACAATTTTCTCTTCCCTTCTTGTACTGGATCTCATAGCTTAATCCTAGCAGCTTGGTGAGACCCTTCTGTTGCATAGCTGTGGTGATTTTCTGTTCAAGCAAAAATTTTAAGCTTTGATGATCAGTCCTTATGATGAAGTGATTTCCCCACAAGTAAGACCTCCATTTGTCAATGGCATTGATAATTGACAAATATTCTTTCTCATAGATAGACAACCCCAAGTGTTTTGGGCCAAAACCCTTACTGAAATAGGCTATGGGTCTGCCTTCTTGCATTAAGACTGCACCCATACCTTTGTAACAAGCATCAGCCTCAACCACAAACCCCTTGTTAAAATCAGGCAATGCCAACACTGGGGAGGAACACAGGGCTTGTTTCAGCAATTCAAAGGCATTTTCTGATTCCATACTCCACTTAAATGCATTCTTTTTCAACATGTCTGTTAATGGCTTGCTAATAGTCCCATAAGCTTTGATGAATCTTCTATAGTACCCTGTAAGGCCTAGAAAGCCCCTCAATTCCTTGATATTAGAAGGTTTAGGCCAAGATCTCACAGCAGACAACTTTTCTGGATCAGTTTGCAACCCTTTTTCAGAAATGATATGACCAAGATACTCCACTTCTCCTTTTGCAAAAGAACATTTACTTAGCTTGGCTAGTAACTGGTTCTCCCTCATAATCCTTAACACCTCCCTCAGATAATCCCAATGGCTATCCAAAGAAGGGCTGTAGATAAGGATATCATAAAAAAATACTAGGACAGTTTTCCTGATTAAGGGTTTAAATATGTGGTTCATCAATGCTTGGAATGTAGCAGGTGCATTTGTAAGCCCAAATGGCATTACCTTGAATTCATACAATCCTAGATGAGTTCTGAAAGCAGTTTTATATTCCTCTCCTTGTTTCATTCTTACCTGATGGTAACCAGCTCTGAGATCCAGCTTGGTAAACACCCTTGCATTAGCCAACTCAGAGAACAGATCCTCTATGAGGGGTATGGGAAATTTGTTCTTTACAGTTATACCATTCAAAGCCCTATAATCAACACAAAATCTCCATGTATTATCTTTTTTAGAGACTAACAACACTGGTGATGCAAAGGGTGAACTACTTGGTATTATAATGCCTGCAATCAACATCTCATCCACCATCTTTTCAATAGCATTCTTCTGTTGGAAGGAATATCTATAGGGTTTTAAGTTGACTGGCTTGGCCCCAGGGATTAAAGGTATGTCATGATCAAAAATCCTGGAAGGAGGAAGGGTCTTTGGCTCCATAAACAGGTCCTGAAACTCACTTAAGATAGCAGTCAATTCATGGTGTTTGGATTCTGTATCAGAGGAAGTATCAAGGCCATAATTAGTACCTTGCAGAAGGTACCCTTGCACACCCCCCTTCTTCCATTTCCTCACTTCCTTCTTAGAAGCTTGTTGCAGTTGGATTCCCTTAGTAAGGCCCTTCAGAAACACTTTCTTCCCATCTCTATAAAAAGATATTCCAGGGGGCCTGGTGTGCAACTGGATTGGGGCAAATGAATCAATCCAGTCCATTCCCAGGACTATATCACAACCTCCTAATCTTAATACCCTTAAATTTCTCTCAAAACATTCATCTTGTATCTGCCATTTCAATCCTGTACATACTGCATCACAAACCATCTTAGATCCATTAGCCACTGTAACTACCAAGTTCTCAGCCCTTTCAGGAGTAATTCTCACTTGATCAAGCAACCTAGGGTCCACAAAACTATGTGTACTGCCACTGTCCACTAGGATTGTCACTACCTGCCTTCCCATATGGCCTATAAGCTTAATGGTATTTAAGCCTTCACCCCCTATCACTGCATTTAATGTGACTTCCACTTCTCCCTCTTCTGTGGATTCAACTGGTTCATTGATCACCTCATGATCCTGACTGGCTTCCTCTTCTTGCTCTTGAAAGTCAGTTCCCTCAATGATATTGAAGGTAGGACCCTTACACCTGTGCCCTGGGCTCCAAGACTCAAAGCACTTGAAGCACCTATTCTGCTCTCTTAGCTGATCTCTGAATCTACTCACTTCAGGGGTTCTGGTATAGGGTTGGGGGTTATTTGAGGCTGTGGTCTTAGTGGAATTCTGGGAATTTTGGCTATTTTGGGTGGATTGGGGTCTGTTTGGTGGGGTAAAGGTTCTGGTGTTGGTGGGTTGAGTTCTGGGGCTTGGGAAAAAATTGGAATTGGTCTTTTGGCTGTGGTAGGTAGTGGCTTTCTGTGGGTCAGTGCCCTTCAACCCCTTTTCAAATTGCCTTGCTAACCACATAGCTTCCTCCAAGTTGGCAGGTCTAGAGGTTCTCACAAAGTATCTGAGTTGTTGTTTAAGTCTCACCACATAACTATCTAAGAAATACTGATCAGATAGTGTAGGATAACTCTGCAATAATAACCCTTTGTATTCTTCATACTTATCAGAATAGTCTACTGCATTACCCCATTGTTTAAAATTGGAAAATTCTTCCATTACATCCACATGGCTATCACAGAACCTTTTGCAAACAGATCTGGCAAACTCAGTCCATTGGAACCCAGCCCTTAGTCCATTCAAATAGGTTTCATACCATATAGCAACCTTGCCAGTTAAATTCACACATAAAACATGCATAACCTCATCCCTAGGAATTCTTGCTAGCATAAAGAACCTCTCACATCTTATCACCCAAAGCCTAGGGTTGTCATAATCAAAGGGAGGAAACTCTTGTTTATACCTGATGAAGTTTTCCCCTCCTTGGTTGTGGTGACCTGCCCCAGCATCGAAATGCACCCTCCTAGCCATCCATGGTCTGCCAGTTCTCATGGGATTCCTGTCTGGCTCGAACTGATTCTCATCCAAGCCCTCATCTCCATCTGAGACTTCTTGCACTTCCTCAGGATTCTCAGAAGTAGGTTCCTTTCCTGGCCTTCTTCCTGGACCAGTACTGCCCTCTCCTGGACTAAACTGCTGAGGTTGAGCTTGCCCTTGGACTGAGGAAGGTTCCATAGGGGGTGGGGGAGGTCTATTGAGTCTTAATAACTCCATAATCTCATCTTTCCAACTCTGCATATTAGCATCTAGCCTTTGCACATTAGCTCTCAAATCCTGAATGTTATCATCCAAGGCTTGCCTAGTTTCAGTTAGGCCACTGCCTTGCTCCATGACCAAGGTCTCCAGTCTGCCCAGTCTCTCGTCCATGGTGGTGGTGGAAGTGGTGACCATGGTGAGCTCTGATACCAAATGTCACAACCCAAACAACTCAACAAGAACAAACAGGGAAGAGGGTAAAGAAGAAGAAGAAATTAGGGATTGAGAAAATAGAGGAATTAGGGATTTAGGAGAAGAATTCAGAATTGTCCACACATAGCATAAAAACCCTAATTCTATCCGACAACATTATATAGAAATCTAGGCTAAGAAAAAACCAAAAAGCTTCTAACAAACTCCAATCTTTTCGCTGGTTGTCCTTGCTGGCTCACACCTGTGGAACGGTGTCGTTTGACAACTCCCTCAACTGCTATCAACCGCTTTGAGAGCCAACGGCGTCGTTTCAATAACTCCTTCCAACGGCTTTAACAGCTTATAATCAAACGGCGCCGTTTTATTAAGTGGCTGAGACTTTATTCCTTTTCCTTCATACGACGTCGCTTAGGTCCCCGACTATCCATTTCATTTCCCCATCTCAGGTACTAAAGTTTTCTGCCCCTTTTTCACTCCCATCTCAACCTCAGCTTGAATTTCCCCCTTTTTTAGATTAAGGAACATGACAGCTGCTGGTCGGATAATGGGAGGAAGAAGAAAGCAATAGTTAAGGAAAAGACCATTTTAGTCCCTACACTAACGCCTTACTAACTGATCTCTAACGAAAGGACCAATGCTAGAACAAATATGATAGTCAAGGGTTTACTTTGTCCATATTAAAAGACGATGACCAATTTTGGAAAATCGCAATAGTCAGAGGACCATTGCTGAATTAACTTTGTTAGATACTCTAAATCTTTTATATTTTTAATAAAACTAAGTATTATAAGCAAATGAATAAGATTAATAACTCAAGTAGAAAGGAATTGAAATGTTTTACCTTGTTGCCTTGAAGAACATCAAAGACATCCTTTGGATCCACCAATCTACTTCGTTTGCTAGGATTTCTAGGGAATTCCTTTCGAACAATTTCTCTTCCCATATTTTGTACCAAATCATGCATCTCAAGACGTCCAAATTCTCTACCTCCATCTATTGTTAACAAGCATCTTTCTATCAAGCTTCTAATTCCACTTTCAGCATAAAAACCACAAGCTTCCAATATCATAGCAGTGCCCTTTTTCCCATGCCCAACAAAAAAACAAGCAATATCAAGAAAGATATTCTTAGTATCATCATCAAGTGCATCATAGCTTATTTTAAGAATTTTTTGAATATCGTCATGAGGATTGCGTCTTAATTTCTCAACATCTTCAATCCACTCTTGCACAGATTTTCCACACAAATGAGAACCTACAATTGTAAGTGCTAATGGAAGTCCCCCAGTATAACTTGCTATAATTTTGGATAGTTCAATATACTCTTCTAATGCTAGAGGAACACCAAAAGCATGCCAACTTAATAGTTGCAAAGAGTCATCAATGCTTAATGTTTTAACCCTGTACTTCTCTTGTGTTCCAAGCTTACTCAACAAGTGAACATCTCTAGTTGTTATTATAATTGTACTACCTAAACCAAACCAATTTCGCTGACCAGCTAATGATTCTAATTGACTTATGTGGTCTACATCATCAAGAACAATAAGAACCCTTTTGGATTGCAGCCTTGCTTTGATCAAACTTATTCCTTCATCAACATTATCAATGTCAAAATTCTTTCTCTTAAGTGTTTTGTGAAGAAATTTCTCTTGTAAACCAACTAGACCATTGTGTCCCTTATTAGAAACTTCTTGTCTAATGTTTGCAACATAGCAGCTACCTTCAAACCCTTGAAAACTCAGGATCAAGCGATTATATATGGCTTTAGCAAGGGTTGATTTCCCAACACCACCCATGCCAAATATTCCAATCATTCGAACATCAGTTGTTTGGATTTGTAATAAATGAAGTACATCTCTAACATGAGATTCAATTCCAACGGGATGCTTTGCAACATTCATGGGCATAAAATCCAGCACTCGTAGCACTTCTTCAGTAATCACCTCAATGGACTTTGACTCATACCTAATCAGATTTTAAATTTATTGCATAAATAATCTTTGTCTATATATTGATTTTAGAAAAAGAAAAAAAAAAAGAGGAAGGCAAAAAAACAAAATTAAGAAACCAAATTGAAAACACGATAGCAGATATTAAAACATAGTGATAATTGAAAAATGTGTTCCGATTCAACCAAAATGCTAAACTGGTCTGATAGTTGAACTAGCAACAAGTGGACCATAGTTTTTTTATCCGATAATATGGAGATTTGAACCGTAACCTTTTACATGGGTTAATTCTAATACCAAATTGATTGATGTTTTAAATTTCAATTATAAGGTTGAGCGTTCTAAAACAAAAAAACAAAAAAAAAAAAAACAAAAAACAAAATAAAAAATATTCTATAAGGTTGAGCTAATAAAAGGATAACACGTTTATGTTTGTATGCTATATATTGAACAATGATTACACTTCCTTAATTAGTTTGACAATTTTAATTAATATCCTCACCTTTTACATGGTGTTTGGTTGGAGGAAATTTAAATTCCATTCTCACTTAATTCCCATATAATTCCAAAGGTCATTAAATTCCTTAGTTTGGTTGGAAGGAATTGCAATTCCATGAAATTGTAATTCCTTCAGTTTCATGGAATTAAAATCCTATGTCCCCCCTGGGATTTTAATTCCATGGATTTTAGGAAGAAAAAAAGATAATCATATATTATACAAAATTACCCCTCACTCTTTTTAACTTAAAATTGATGCCCACAACAACAATAGATATTTTGGACTTATACTACTTATTCTCTTTCAATTCTCATGTATACCCAACATTGGAATTGAAATCCCAGTAATTATATTCATGTAAATCAAACACTAGAATTTAAATTTTGACTTTATTCCCAGTAATTCGTCTCCCCTGAAATTGCAATTTCTTTCCCACGTAATTTCATCCCTCCAACCAAACGCCCCGTAAAGGGTTGTTGTGATTCAATAGGTGAGTATAATGCATGCATACTATAGGCTAAAAGTGTGAAAGACTTTTCCATCTTTAAAATATTGAACTATCAATACAGATTATATCCATGGGTACAAAATAAAATTCAACAAAAAACTCGATTTTCAAATACAGAACTATGTTAATTAAGAACCTAGTAATAAATTATATTTTGCAAACAAAATTTACTAGGAGATTTGTAAATATTTTGTATGAATTAACCAAGAAATATAATTCGTCAATAACTATAAGTTCAAAATATTTACCCCATAATATTTATGTATAACCAAAAGTAATTAATACCGTATAAAAATTAATTAAAAAGCACTGTTAGAAGATGCAGATTCTTCTCCTTCAATTATTTTTAAATTTTTCTTCAAAAATTACCATAAATACGAATTTACTATATGAAAAAGTATGCCAGATTGTGACAAATATCCAAAAATAAAAGGAAATCTAAAGAGTTAGGATTACCCATTTGACATGGTTTGCAAATCCCACCCTGACAAATTAGCAGCTGATGTGAGTGCATCTTTCCACTTATTAATTTTTTGATTCCCAAATCGTTGTTCGTGCAGAGTCAATGCATCACCAAAAGTGTTTGTTTGTTTGCGAACCTCGGAAGGATCGACATCGTAGAATATGGGAAAAACAATCTGATTCAACTCCTGTTTACATTCTATGATCTTTACAAGCTCATCTAGGCACCATCTGGATCCAGTATAGCCTTTGGAGAATACGATGATGGATATCCTCGACTCCTCTATGGCCCTAGATAGCTCAACAGAAATATCCCCGCCTCTCCGGATTGATTCATTATCCCGAAAGGTGTTAACTCCAGCCCGATTCAAATCTGCATAGAGATGATCAGAAAAGGATCCTCGCGTCTCACCACTAAAACTCAAGAAAACATCATAGGTAATGCGAGCATATGATGAAGAAGATGATGATGCCATACTTGAAATCTGAGTACACTATTAACTAAAGATTTATGTTAAAGAGCTTTGAAAACGCGTGTAGCAGGTAAGCAGCGATGACATTTCAAAGGCAAGATAGGAAAATATCTCCCAATGATTGTTAAAACCCAAAGAAAATTTCGTACTTTATATTACAGGCTTTAGATTTAATGATTATTATCAAATTCAAAATATATTTCGTATAAGTTAATAATTTAATTAAACATTATTTTCAACCGAGATCTTAAGATACCTCAATTTCAATATGTCACTATAATAAATTAAATTAAAATAAATTAAATTTATTTTTGTGATATAACATAATTTATCATTATTAGTAAAACTAAATTACTTTTCAAAAAATTCACTATAATAAACAATATAATTGTCAATTTCACAATGTCACCTTCCGACAAAACATAATGGAGAGTAGTTGGGTTAGTAAGACGTTATGCCATGGAACCGTGTTCACCATTCATGGTGAACACGGTTCCAACGGTGTTAGTGCACCGTTATCTCTTTTTTTTTTTTTTTTTTTTTTTTTTTTTTTTTTTAATTACGTGACTGCCTACACATTCACTTTGGAACCATGCCTACACATTCACTTTGGAATCATGAGATTATGAATTTTCTGTTATGAGATTATGAATTTTCTGTTATGAGATTATGAATTTTCAGTTATGAGATTATGAATTTTCTGTTATGCGATTATGAATTTTCTGTTATGAGATTATGAATTTTCATTACATTCATAATTTCGGAGTTTCGGACATTCATAAATTATGAATTCATGCATGCACATTCACTTTGGAACCATGCCTACATATTCCCGTCCGAAATCACGGACATTCATAAAATTATGAATCCATGCCTGCACATTCACTTTGGAACCATGCCTACACATTCACTTTGGAACCATGAGATTATGAATTTTCTGTTATAAGATTATGAATTTTCTGTTATGAGATTATGAATTTTCAGTTGTGAGATTATGAATTTTCTGTTATGAGATTATGAATTTTCAGTTGTGAGATTATGAATTTTCTGTTATGCGATTATGAATTTTCTGTTATGAGATTATGAATTTTCATAAAATTCATAATCTCATAACAGAAAATTCATAATTTGATCAGTAACGCGCCGTTAACTCCACATCCGCGATTTTTTTTTTTTTTTTTTTTTTGCCTAAAAACGACGTCGTTTTGACTTGTGTTCACCATTCTCGGTGAACACGATTCCACGGCATAATTTGCGCAAATTTTCAACCACAAAATAACTAATCAAATTAAACGTTATGGGCCAAAAACCTTGTGGTATAGTGGTACGAAGTGACTCTTTCAAGAATTAATGAATTATATATCCAGAATTAGTGAACTATGTATCCAGAATTAATGAATTATATATCCAGAATTAGTGAAATATATATCCAGAATTAGTGAACTATATATCCACACCGGAAATTGTGGAAATCCCGTCGATTGGAGTTTTAAAAAAAATTGATTGGTGGAGTTAAACGGTGCCACTAACGACACCGTTACTCCACCATAGTGAAACTGTGTGTGTCGTTCGCAACCGTGTGTGGTGAAGTTGGTTACATGCGTTGAGCAGAGAAGCAAAGAGGGAGAGAAAGCATGAAATAAAAAAGACGATCCAAAAATCTTATTACGCAAAGGACGAGACTTACAATATATAACAGGGAAAACGGTTATAAAGGAATGTGATAGAAAAGGACAAGAAAGCCCTTCTAAGTTTCCCGCCTATCTATTTCATCCTCCAACACCCCACCCCCACCCCCCGGTAAGCTGGCGCATGTAGATCCTGTATGCCTAGCTTAGAGACAAACAATTGAAACTGTGTGGTAGGAAGGGGTTTAGTGAACCCATCTGCAATTTGGTTTAGGGAGGATACAGATAGAAGTTTGAAAGAGAGCCTTGAGAAACCTTTTCCCGAACGAGATGACAATCAATCTCAATGTGCTTGGTATGCTCGTGGAAAACGTGGTTCTCGGCTATTGCTATGGCCGATTTGTTATCACAAAAAACAGCTGCTGGTTTCGACATTGGTGTTTGCAAGTCTTTGAGAAGGAAGGAGATCCACTGTGCTTCACAAATTGTAGCAACTAATGCTCTGTACTCAGCTTCCGAGGATGATCTAGAGATAGTAGATTGTTTCTTTGCTTTCCAAGAGATCAAAGCTGAGCCGAGAAGAATGCAATAGCCAGTGATTGAGCGTCGCGTCTCTAAACAGGATGCCCAGTTAGAGTCTGAAAAAACATTGAGCTGTAGAGCATCTCCTCTTGGATAGAACAAGCCTTGGCCAGGGGCTCTTTTGATGTAGCAGAGAATGCGGTGTGTTGCACTCAAATGTTTGTCGGTGGGAGCATCGACAAATTGACTGATTTGTTACACAGCAAAGGCTATGTCGGGTCTTATTGTTGTGGGATATAGTAATCGCCCAACAAGCCTCCTAAAAGAGCCAACATCAGATAGGAGCTCGCCATATTCATGACTTAAGCACTGTCCTGGCACCATGGGAGTTGAGGCTGGCTTACACTCTGTGATACCCCGTAAATTCATTCCTTAAACCAGAATTAATTTCCGAATTAATTCCTTTTGGCCTTACAATTCTTTTCTTAATTCCCATTTAAATTAGTTAAGGGATCTAGTTTGACCAAATCCCTTACCCTTTTTAATTTGGTCAATGGGTAGACCTCGTGCTTTATTCCTTGTACTCTAGACTTTATTTCCCTCCTAGCCTTTATGTGGAAAGAAGGGGCCCTTTTGGTCTTTTCACCATTTCTAACCTTAAAACCCTACCCTAGCCAAGACACTCCAAGACATTTCAAAATTTCTCCATCTCTCTACATCCCCTTCTTTCTTGCCCTTCACTCTTCCTTCTCTTCATGAAACCCTAAGAGTTCATCTTCACATTTCTTCAAGAAATCCAAGCCAAGACTTCAACTTTTTAACACTCCAAGACTAGAAGTGGTAAGATCTATCATCCTACACCTTTGATACTCAAGATTCCTTCCTCTTTTTCTAAATCTTTCTCTATCTTGTTGGGTGTTGGGAGTTTGTAGAAGATCAAGAGGTGGGTGAGTTGCTAGGTTGATCTAGAGGAGCTTGTGGTGTTGCTTGAAGGTGTTTGCTAAGCTAAGGAGGTAACCCATGTCCTACAAAATCTATTTTATACTTGCTATGATGATTTCTTGACATTCTTGATGCTATTAAGTGATTTTGAGCATATTCTTGTGTTTATGCCATTTTAGAGCTTGTATGTAGGATTCTTTGATGCTATTCTATGTTTTCAAGTTCCTTTGGGGATGGGTATGAGTTTTGAGGTGTTTTGGACTTGAACTTGAGCATTTTGACAATTTTCCCGAAGTGTTTTTCTCTCTCAGAATCGGTACCGGCAGGCAGTGTGCCACCCGCCGTTCCACCCGCTGGGTACAAGGGTGAAGGTGGCGGGGGGGAGGTCCATGGGTGGTTGACCACCCGCTGGTACATGGCGGGTGGTTTGCCACCCACCGTACCGCCCACCGGTACGGTGTATTGATTTCTTGACCTCTTGTTTTGTTGATCCATTGTCCACTTGTGTGTCTTCGTTGATGTTTCGTAAGTCTAGAACGATATCTTAAGTACTCGTGATAGGACTTGTGAGTCTTGAATCGTGTTTATGATCCAACTTTGTGATTCGTTGGATTGATGTGAAGTCCATGATGTTCGTATGAACCTTTATGACTATCTTATTGATTTGCATGCTAGCTACGTTGTTTGTTGGTACTAGTATGTGCTTTCCTCGTAATGATCTTATCTATTCTTGATGAGGATTGGTAACTTGTATTTACCCATCGTTGTGGTCTTTTGATTGGAAAATCTTTCGTTATTATGGCAATACCTTGGAATGTTTCCTTCACGTTCTTTCTTGAATTCCTTCGATTGAACCTATCATTGTGAGCTTGTACAATTGCTGTACCTTTATCGTGATTATTCCTCGATTAAGCTATTGTTGAGCTTATCCGTTGTTATACACACTTCGTGTGGAATCTATGCTTTGTTGTATCTTTAGATTCCTTGTGGATTGCCTCTTGTTGAGATGGTGGAATAGTGGACAATGTGGGGACTTATGTGTTACTAATATGTGATTGGCGAGCCTCTGGCTCTATTTGCATTGGGTCATGTTGGTGTGGGAAGCCCTTGACAGGTCAGTGGCATGGAAAGCCTCGATCAACCATTGCGGACTGATGCGGTAGTGAGTTTAAAACTCCGGGTTGCTGTTTGGATACTTATGATTTGTGGGAAACTTGGGAAACTTATCCCGGTTGCTAGAGATAGTAGCTAACCCGTTGGGCTTGGAATCCCAATAGGGGGTGTATACACTTAAAGTTGCTAGATCTATTTCCATTGGACTATGATTTGAGTCGTTGTGATGACTCCGTGACATGTGATTGTTGATTTGGAGCCCTCCACACTGATCCACTATGATTTGAGTCGTTGCGATGACTCTGCGGTGAATGAGTTGGTTTAGCTATGTCCTTTGTGGATTTGGAACCTTGTCGGGAATGGATTGATTATGATTCTTGTAACCCTTGCTTATGAGCATATCTTAAATGTAACCTTGTTGATTGATGCTTGATTACCTTACATTGTTGATTATCTTTGTATCCTATTCATTGTCTCCTCAAGTTGATTCTATTGTTTAGCCTTATGTTGGTCGGCATGATTGAGTGTATCTTTCGATGAGTCAAATGATACTTCTATCTCTCTTGTTTTAAAAGCTAGTGTTGCTAAGACTATACTTATGTATTCCAAGTCTCGAAAGTGGTTTTCTTATAAAATATATATATTGTACTCAACACGTTGGAGTGGGTTACTTAGCAATTTTCGCTAATGATTGTTATACCTTAATGTTTTTAGGTGCTAGTGAGCCTGAGAGCGCGTAGTAGAGCTGGTTTAGACTAGATTTATCTTTACTCTAGTTTAGCTGTTATGGCCTGTGTGCCCTTGTTCTTTGACTTGTGGTTAGTAGTAGTTTGTT